ATACATACTGACTCTTGCTACTACCCTTTCCTTACTTCATCATTTCCATTCCTTTGACCACCCCTTCTTTCTTTGTTCCTTTATCTTTGTACCTTTCTTTCTTTCATTCTTCATGGTTTATCATTCTTAGTGGCTCATACTCTCTGAGTACTCTTGTGTAGTTTAGTATATATAAGTGTACAAGATCAGACTGGTCCTATAGTCTTGATCTCATCTACTCTAGGTAGTCCTATACTCTTAGGCTCACTCTATATACTCTACTCTTGTCTCACTCTCTCTCTCTACCTGTTCTGTGAGTTCTGACTACATTCTAGTACTTGTGTTCTGTATTTCTGTTGTGTAGGATAGTTATAGCCTGGGTCCTCTTACTAAGCCTTTGGGTCCCCTCTACACTGTTACTGACATTAGATTAAGACTACCTATTACTACCCTACAACTCTCCTACATTTCAGGCATTAGTACTTACTGTTGTGTTGATCTCTTTTCTTTGTCCTAACCCTTTTACATTTTTAAATTTTAAACTTTCTAAACCCTTTTAAACTTTTGCCACCCTTCTTCTATTCATTACCCCTTTTAGTTTAGTACTGATTCCTTTGTAGTGTAAACATAGACCCTCTTACACTAACTGCCACCCCTACTGTCCTACTGAATCAGCAGTTATAAGTAGACTTAGCTTAATACATACAGACCTTTATCTAAGAGGCCTTTGTCAACTATATGCCCCCAGCCCCTTTAGAACCTGTTCTAATTGTTCTGGAAGTCACAACCTGTTCTGGAAAGAAAGTGTATGTAGCCTACCCTTCAGACTTTAATGAGTAGCACTTTAAGGACTTCTAACACTAAGTCAAACTATACATAGCTACTACTTTGACTAATCTATCCTCAGATCTTAATTATGTCCTATTTGTCCTCTCCTTCATAAAGGAAGACAACATAGCCACCTAGGCTCAGAACTGGATTAAAGGCTATTAGATCAGAAGCCTGATCTAACTTTAGAATGACAAGTTGTATTCAGAATTCATAAGGCAGCTCTATACTTCCTTCATTAATCTGAACAAGAAGTGTAATATACAGAACAAGCTTGTGTCTCTGTGACAGGACAAACATTCTACTAATGCCTTCTTTTAGGAGTTTGATATTCTAGCCTGGAAGGCAGGATTCACACTCAGGTTTGATAATGTCCTTATTAGAATGCTTGAAAAAGCTCTTTACTCAGAACTGGTTAATAAGATTCTTAGAATAATACTAGAACTAATTACTTACACTGAGTAGAAGACACATACTATTTCCTTCAACTAAGCTACAGTTTGAATACATTAAGTCTGTACAGAATGCCTACACATGTATCCAGCTCTGACAGTTCTGAGCCCTCAGATTGATCTGTCTATAATTTACAATCAATCTGTTCTGATAAACATTAGAGAAGCCTAAAAGTAAGGAGCATACTTTGTCTACAGAAAGTTAGGACACTAGATTAAGGACTGCTCACAGAAGTAACAGTATATCTGTCAGGTCATTAGAGTAATAACAAGTGACAAGCAGGATTTGTAGTAAGAAGCCTTTTCTACAAATCTAGAAGTCACCTCAGAACTTCTAGACTCTGACTATGTACTCTAGGATTTTGTAGAGGCCTAACAGTGAATGTAGTACTAAAGGGCTATGACTTGGATTTTTTAATAGCTACTTTTGATTTAATGAACACTGTAGGATTAGAAGTAAATAAAGTAAGAAAAGTAGAAAAAGTAGAAAAAGCAGAAAAAGTAGAAAAAGTAAATCAACAAAATTATTTATTAGAAAGAAAAAAGCTGAAAACAAAAGTAGATAGTTCTCTTATTTCTTCTGATTCTTTTGATTCTTCTCTTCACACTTTATCCAAGTCTAAATCTACACAATCTAACCTGCTACTTCTGTGTTCTAAGATCTCAGAATGTTCAGAACACTATTCAGCCCTATTTACTACTCAGTAGTTTGTCTGTAGTATTAAGTAGGGATAGTCTTAGCTGAGTTCACAGCTGAGGACATGAGTCTGTCCTTGTCAAAAGAGAGAGGTTAATAAGGAAATGTTAGTACATATACTTACTCTCTTAGACAATAAGACTGTGTAAGCTGTATGTTCCCTTCAGAACAAGTAGTAGTTTATTAGAGAATGTTCTAAGTACTAGCTCTAGGTTCCTGTCCTCTTAGCTCCCTTCTTAGGATCCCTCCAGATCTGAATAATAGCTCTAGTAGACAGTAGATACACTAGTTTGTGTATTAATAAGGCCTTTGTGTAGGAACACTACCTTCTTACTCAATGTATTCTACTTCTAATCCTAGTATACAATACAGACAGAACTCTGAACTAGAATAGTCAGATTACTGAGTTTGTCCAACTACAGATGACTATTTAGGATCATGAGGAAAGTATTAAGTTTAGAGTCACTAACCTTAGAAAGACAGATGTCTTTATTAGATTCAAATAGCTTAAAGCTTACAACCCTACTATTAATTAGTTAGAGTAGACACTTGTGTTTAATTAGTGTCCTAAGTCTTACAACTACCTTACACTACTGTTCTGAGTGAATACAGACACTTCTAATGTTACTAACAGTTCTAATAAAGGTGACTAGTTGTTCTTCTTTAACTAGGATAAATATGTTAACACATATTCTAGTCAAGACAGAACAAAGTCAATCTAAAGGATGTCTAAGACAGAACTAGTTTAGAACCCTCTCAGAACAACTCTACTCTAGAACACACATAGACTCAGCCTGCCAGATTTTGTCTAAGAGTTCTCTAAAGTCTTTAGTAAAGAGGAATTCAACTAGCTTCCTAAACACTGTCTCTAGGACTATACAATTGAATTAACTAAGGATTTCTAACTTAAGGATTGTAAGGTCTACCTGTTTAACAGAGA